GAATTTGGTGTAAGTTTGGGTCCTTATGTCATATTTTTGCCTTAAATTTATGCTGATGGTGGCGGATTGAATTTAGCCATAGCTATGTTGTACTCTTTCTCGCGAGCTTGAGACAAAGTTGCTCCTTTCCCTTCCTTTCCATCCAAGGTCCACCCCACTAAGATTTCTTCAACAGAAGCCGTAAAAAGATAGAGTGGGGGGCAGGTTGACCAGAGAGCCATTGGGCATCTACTAGCAGAATGGCTGTTTTCCAGTCCGGACCGGCTAAGAGTTTGCCAGTCTGAACTGAAAAACATTGTTTCTTTTCTAATAGCATTCTCAAATTAACTACAAAAAATTAACATTCTTGGACATATTAAGGTGACATCTAATAGTCTCTAAAACCCATAGCTTGAATATTCATCACTAGTACATGGCACTGAATTGTAAACCTTCACTATGACTGAAGTCTTACGTGCAACTAACCAGACATAGTAAAAGAAAATTGTCGAGAACTTAAGCGTTTTACATAAGACCAATTTGCATCTAACTAAAAATCAATACAGTTTTACATAGCAGCTGGAGTGGGGATTATTAATCATCGGGCTCTGCTGAGAAGTCTGGCTCTTCGGGCTTCTGAAACTTTGGCATTTCAACATCCTTCAATTTTTGAGCCCCTCTACGTGTATTTGCTGCAAACCTTGAAGCCAGAATGGTAACCCCTAGGTTCTGTTTTACATTGGAAGAATTTGAAGATCCCTCCTTTTCATCACTTTCTTCAGCTGCTTGCTCCTCAGAAGGATATGAGAATGACTCCATCATGCTAAGGTTCCTAGCCATCAGCCTCTTCTTGTGTCGGCGCCAAGCAGCCTGAATGAAGCAGGCGGCCCATGTCCTCCAGTGGTAAGAATAGTAGCGGAATGTGTGTTGTAGCTTCTTGCTATGGAGTCTCCTGAACTGATTGGCCACAAATTTGAGATCTTCTGCTCTCAATGCAAAGGCTTCCACTTCAACAAGGGCTCTCACCGTCCTTGTGGATGAAGGTAAGTTCGATGCAGATTTTGGAAGCAGCGCCCATGAAAGTAGCTCCTCTCCACAAAAGTCACCTGGTCTTAAAGTAATTGAATTGAAGAAACCTGTGCGGCCCCCATTTGTAGTTGAACTCTCAAGTCTCCCTCTTATAATGAAAAGCATTTCAGTGACAGGATCACCTTCTCGAACAATGTAGGTTCCTTGAGTACTTAAGGAGGATACTAAGCGCTCACATATGGCATCTAGTAACTGATCATCCATCTGTGAGAAAAGGGGAACCTGCATTTTATGGAAATGTAATGTCAGAAAAAGAATTTCCATTTGAAACTACCGCTTTCAATCAGATGAAGTTAAAACAGTTTCAGGAAGATGAAATTTTGTGCTCATTTCAACTTCCTCAAAGCAAGTCAAGAGTCAGTGTAAATCTATGTGGTAGAAATATCCCAACCAAGGATAACTCCTCTCAAGATACATGTAGATTCTAAACTTCAGACTGGTACCATATCAAATTATCAATATGTGGAACATGTCCTGATAAAATCTACTACAAGCAGATCACACTTACACGTCGAACAAGGTCCAAGCACAGGTGGCTTTGGATGTCTCTTCGTAGATCTGTAGGTAAGGCATGCAAGATTGATTCTTCATCAACACCTCGAGTTGCAAGCCACTTGTACTGAACAAATCGGCGGACACGTTCTCGCAGATCTTGAGGGAGCTGACGATGCTTCATCCACTCCTCAGTGTCCCGTCGCTTGAGCCTCCATTCCTCAAGTCTTACTGTAATGGACTGCAGGTATGTCTGCACCCAGTAGCATGTGGTTTAAGGATGTGTCTATGGAAAAAGCACCAATATCAAATTAATGAGTGGAAACAACTAGGGAGCAGTTTCAAAGAATCCTAGATTCCATAACTGCAGGATAAGCTCGTTTGCATTCAAAATTAGCACACGGAATTTTTTTATCTCACATTTCCTGGTTGGCCAAATGGAAGCCAGACTTTCTTAAAATTTATAAGCTGTTATGAGGAATATCCCATGTGACCTAATAAACAAAATGAACTTTAAATATTTACATAACAGGGAAAAAAAAATCGAGAAGTGATAAAAGATCATTCACCTGCATGTTACCAATCAAATGGGCAAATAAAACTAGACCCAAGATGGAAATGAGTATGGCAAACATGTTTTCTCCAATAAATGTGCTTGTCTCTAAATTTTGTCCATAGGAGCTGAAACAGAAATTCACAATTAACATTTCAAATGATAACAATGGCAACTTTAATATAGCATGTCCATGAAGCCATACCTCAACTGCTGCAAACCAAACCACAGACAGTAGAAATACTTTGCAAGGAACTTTGAAGAGACGACATTTTTTGACATTGCATTCCCAAATAAGCCATAGTTGAAAGTACTATTACTATTAGTGGGGTCACAGTTACTAAACACAACAGTACTATTTTGCCAGTTCTTGCGATCATGTTCATCTAATGAGCCACAATCCAAGTAACTCAGTTTGCATTTAAAAGGGTTGACCTCCTTTCTGCATTCAGATTTCCAGCATGTTGCATATCTTTCTATTGACAATAAGTACCATGATGCTCCTATGACCTATAAGAAGAAAAGAAGAATAATTCAAAACTCCAAGAAAGACTGTCAGATGCCAATTAAGGAGAAACAAGATTCAAGTAAGAGGTATAACATACATGACTGGCTAACATGTACAGCAGGAGATTGTAAGCAGCTCCCGCCCAGGCAGTCTTTGTGACTACTCCTGCTGCTTTGATAATCTCAGAGCTTAAAGGGAAAATCAAATATAGTCGGGCAATATATTGGAGTAGAACAATTAATACAAGTGCATTGTTAGTATGACCAGAATGGGAGCTTTTAACTGCTGGTATAACAAACCATATCATAATCTGCAAAAAAAGAAAA